GGGGGGGGGGGGGGGGGGTGAAAGACATAGGAACTTAGGCTATTATTAGCTTGAGGAATGGGGAGGATGGATCCTAATTTTGGCACTAGAATGGAGGAATATATTCTAGGCCCAAACAACATCCCAAGGTCAATGTGCCTATGAAATTTTATTTTTGGAAATGCCATTTGTTTGGCCAGTACAAAAGTGCTAATATATAGTTTTGACAGCAGGATGAGTATTGGTTTTCCATTGATGATAACAAACTCTTCCTTTCCCTTTCCTCAGTAAAGAGGCCCTTTTCTGGACTGATCCTGCCAGTATCCCTTCCTTCCCAGTTGTGGAGGGTACCAGGAAGTTAGTTTAGCCATGAATGCTCTGTCGAAGTGTTTGTATTTGGTATCACCTAAATATGGTCTTGGTTTGATTGGAGAAGTCTTGAGTGTCAAGGAAATAAGATATATAATGCATCAAGTAGTGAAAAGGGCATTATTTTTTTGGTAAGCCTGAGTGTCTTTACTATGTTAATGTTTAAATGTGATAATAGTTGATACATAGAAATATTGTAGGAAATTGCGGTAAAAGTAGCTTAAAATTAGTTTTGTGGCTGGTTTTCAGAGTAGAAATTTTTAGGTTTTTACTTTTAGGAACACGAAGGCACTAGTTCTTGGTGTGCATATGACATTTTGCAGTATCTCATTGCAAATGGTAGGTCACAGAATATTCCTAAAATATGTACAGAATTTTTCCAAAGCAAGTGTCTTCAGGTTTTTTTTCTGTCCATACGTCAATGAGAGAGTGAAAGAGTAGGTTTTGATTGATCAAGATGGTGGAGGAATGGGAGGAAGGGGTTTTTGACTTCTTTGGAGTGCTGTGAAGAGTTCTCTTTGTAAATTGTACTTGCAAAGAAAAAGTTATTTGTCAATGATTTGTAGGATTTTAGGTTGCTGAATGATTGTACTTATTTCTGTTCAAAAAATAAAAGAAAAAAGAATGATCATGCTTAAGGTAGGATCTGAGGCATCTCCAATGTTGACCCAAACTAAAATTTAAATTTGAGTAAAAAGGTTGATTTGATTTGGTATGGCCTTTTCTAATGCGTAAAATCAAATATATTCAAAATTTTTTTTTTAAAATTCTCATATTGTTCCAAAACATATTCCTTTTAAATTTTTTCTATTGAAATGGTGCTCTCTGGCAAAGATCTGATTCCATGGTGAAGTCTTTGGAAAGGAGCAGATCTTCAGTTTTCATGGCGAAGATCTGGTTCATTTCTTTAAACCAGGCAGTGAAGAAGAGGGCTGGATCGCAGTCCTCCATGGCAGTGAAGAAGAGGACTGGTTCGCAGATCTGCAAGGAAGAAGATGACTTTTTTGGCTAAAAAATTTGAGGTTGAGTTTGAGTCTCTCTCAATTTGAGTTCAGAAAAGTGTTTCTCTTGATTTGGTAAGAGTTTGAGTCAAGGATTGTAGAGGGTTTTTGGGCTTTTTTAATCCAAATTTAAGTTTCAGTTTGGTTTTGAATAAGGAGTGGAGATGGCCTAAAAAGACTATATGATTGCATCTTTACAGTTGAATGGAAGTTAGGTTTTGTCTTCGTCATAGCATGAAGAAAAGTAAAATACCCATTGGATGTTGAAGCTTGGATTCTTAAGAATTAATCACAGTATACCTTATTTGGCAATTGGCATGATGACTTACTCCGGCGCACTTTGAAGCCCATTTCTTATTTTGGTCGCCGTTCGGCATTTTCTTCTTTACATGGATGCTTAGCAAATACATCTCTATTTAATCATAGTTTTTCGGTCTTTAGAACTTAATCTGCATTACTGGATTAAAAATGCTACCTGGGTTCTTGTCTATTATGTAGACCGTTAGAATTTCTTCACCTTGCATGTTTGTTCAAAAGCATGCCACAACTCCTGCTTCTAAAAAAAAAAAAACACAAAAGGTCTCCTTAGAACTGAAGGAAACAGAGGCACAAGCCTATTGAACAGATTGTCTATTGAGAATCCATGCTTTTTGGGTCTGCAAAGAGTGTTTCTAGAGTATTTGGCTTGAAGTATTCCTCCTTCACCCGAGTATCTGTTATGGAAGTATACAATGGATTCGAGCGGACCATAGCGTGAAGATATTGAGATTGATGTGGATGATGATCAATAAATCATTGACCTGGATGAAAATGCAGGATTGGAGATGCCCTACTCTGGATGTTGACTATTATCTCTACTCTTTTTTTTTTTTTGTTAAATTCATCTCTCTCTCTCTCTCTCTCTCTATCTATCCGTCAATCTTACATATATCTAATATATCTTTATCTTTTTCAAATACTGCTGCTATTTTTAGCAAGACATGGATTATGGAATTAATGAGATTTTTTCTTAATTTGGAAATAAAAATAAAAGGTTTTAGTTAAAATTGAGAATAAATTGTGATTAATTAATGGAGTTGATTGGATTAAATTTCAGTATTATTGACCAAATTGGACAGTGAAATACGTCAAAAAAACATTGAAATTGGGTGTATTTCGTTGTTTGAATCGTGACCGTAAAGTAAGAATTTCATTACTATTGGATAGGCAAATTTGCTTATGAGTGAAAAAATTCACTCTCTAATTTTAATTGTTCGAACGGTGATACTAAATTGACATATGAGTGTAAAAATTTACACCATCCTCTTAGTGTGACAATGGAATTGATCATATTTCATTTTACGAACTATGATGGTGAAATCTAGATTTTATTATAATCGTGATATTAGTCTATTACAAAAAGTTTGTCATGGAGTCATCTTCAATTTGTCAACCACAACAAGCTGGATAGTGACTTCATCGTAGAGTTTTGACTGTGAGGAAGATGTACAGTGATTTCGTCTTTGGCTTTTGCTTCTAGTTCTTGCTCCTTTGGAGTTTTGTCTGAAGGAAGATGAACAGTGACTTCGTCTTCTCTTTTTACTTCTACTTTGATTCTTGCTCCTACTTGGGAGTTTTGACTGTGAGAAAGATGTATAGTATAGTGACTTGGTCTTCGCTTTTGCTTATACTTCGATTCTTGTTCCTACTAGGTTCTGTCTTTTGAGATTTTGCTCACATATTTTTGACGGAGATTTGCATCTCAAAGGAAAAATTGATAGAGAGCATGGTTTTGATACATACTAAGAAAGAGAGAGTGGGAGAGGAGAGAGAGAGTAAAGAGAAAGAACCGTGGAAAAGAGAGAAAGATGGAGACGAGAGAGAAATAGGAGAGAAAGAAAAAGAGTGGGGGAGAAGAGAGAAAATTTGTAAAAAAAACAAAGTAACCAACGTGATAGGCTCAAGAAGGGTACTCTACTAATTAAAAAAAAAAACTATTTAGTCAAATTGAATTAGAAGACAAAAAAAGAGTATGACATGTCTTTAATGCATTAAAAATACCTTACTTAGATTTAGTGACTTAAAAAAATATCTGATTGGACTTTTGAAACTTTTCTCTTTCGAACAAATGACATTTTATACATTAAATGTTTCAATTTGCATGCCAAAAAGATCAACAATATATCACATTACACCTTAAGGTCAGCCCAAAAACACTTGAGGTTTTAGGCAAAAATTTTAGATAGAATCCCAAATTATATTTAAGTGAATAAGTTTGTTAG